CTTTTCTCCATTTTATTCTGGAACAAATCTTCCATGATACTAAAACTTGTAACAACAGTGTTGGATGTGGACCCGCATCATAGGAAACGAAAACATATCATAAACCAGAGATATAACTATGACAATTCTTTAAGTCTCTACCCACCCCTACCCCTGTGACCCCCCCATCCCAGGCTGGTGGTTCACCGTGAGGAAGTCTCCCTGCTCACAGTGGTCCCTGTATTTATCAAGGGTGCAACTTGTTCCCCCAGTTTGGAGCTTTTGGAACTGCATCAGGCTCAGAAGCGAGAGTAAAGAAATGAGACTGGTCTTTGCTTCTAGGTTAGCTGCTATTTGCCAACATTTGGCTTCTTTGCAGGAGGACACGGGTATCCTGGCTTTGCCAGGGACATTCTTCGTTGCCTCATGAGTTTTGCCTCACCTCTTGTGACCAGAAGAGAGGACAGAAGCGATGATGATCATGAAGAGAGTGGGGGGCGTGGAAGGGGTTGTACGGTCTTCACACATACTCAGGCCATGCCTGGAGTCTAGAGGCCAGGGGGTAGGGCCCAGCTGCACATTGCTGAGGCCACTAATAGACTCCCTTGGCCTGTTGCCCTTCTGGCACATCTTGTACCTCACACTGTGGGAAACCACATGAACCAGAGCCACGCCTGGCCCTGAAGTCGCCCTCTGTCAAACAGGAAGTCCTGTCCACACACATTTACTGGCCACGCCAGATGATGCACTCCTGTGCCCTTGTTCACTGGGCCACTGTCAATATTGACTGGGGCTGGGATGGGGCCAGCTTCCAAGAGGAGGGACAACAGAACCCGTTTTTTTGCGTTTTTGTTTTAATTTCATTTCCATTATATTTGGGTTTTTTAAATTTCATTTCCATTATATATTTTTTTGAATTTCATTTTCATTATACATATATTTTTTTTGAACCGGTCTTTAAAGGGGAAGGAGTAGGGAGTTTGGGGACTCCCAGTAGTGAACAATGTGAGCAGAGGCCCAGAAGAGGGAGTGTGACCGCTGTTTTGGGAGGTGAGAGGAGCCAGGCTGGTGCCCCGAGCGCACAGTGCCTGTGGGGAAGGATGGAGGGGAGACTGCAGAGCCAGACCAGGGCGGAGCACGAGATGTCTTGAATACCAGGTCAAACATGAACATTTTTTTATAGGCTTTGGGAACCTTTTTTTTTTTTTTTTTTAAGATTTTATTTATTTGAGAGAGATAGCAAGAGAGAACACGAGCAGTGGGGAGAGGGAGAGGGAGAAGCAGGCTCCCTGCTGAGCTTGATGCCAGGACCCCAGGATCATGACCTGAGCAGAAGGCAGGCAGATGCTTAACCGACTGAGCCACCCAGGTGCCCCTTTGGGAACCTTTTTAACATGGAATTTGAACAGTTTGAGATGGAGGAGTGACATGGTCTAGAAAGATCTCTCAGGTGGCAGGGGGAGGTGAACTGAAAGAGGATTGGTTAGAGACATTTAAGAGCCGTATGCAAAGTCTAGATGAGGGAAACTGAACCCCACAGCATTCTGGGGTCAGTGCCGGGCCCTCCGCCTGCTCTCACCCGGTGTGCCTGGGTGGCTCCGTCGGTTAAGCGTCTGCCTTCAGCTCAGGTCATGATTCCAGGGTCCTGGGATGGAGCCCCGCATCGGGCTCCCTGCTCAGCAGGGGGCCTGCTTCTCCCTCTGCGCCCCACCCCCTGCTCGTGCTCTTTCTTGCTCTCTCAAAGGTGGGCTTTGTGTGGGAGTGTGGGCTGGTCTCACCTCCTTCCGGGCCCAGCGCGGCAAGTGTGAGCAGGGGGTGGGTCGGGCCCTCCATTCCTATCAGCACACAGCAGGGTGAGCCTGGATTTCCAAAAATGACTGTCACGAAACAAAACATCGAGGCTGTTTCATGTTGTATCATCAAATAGGGTCCCAAAAGTGGCAAGACTTTCCTCTAGAAAACAGGTAATAATTTAACATTGTAAAATAACATGGTTTTTGTTTTGGGGGGTTTCTTTTTGCATTAGAAAATATTCTGATAAAACATTCTCTTTTTAAAATTAGTTTTTATTTTCAGCAAAGTGATAATATGGCCTTAAATATCAAAGAGGACTAAAAGGCCTTTTTTTATACCCTAGAGGCAACACTTCATGCTCGTTCTTTCTGGTGTGTATCTTTCCTGCTCTAAAAGTCTTAAATCGTTATTTCTTGAGTTGAGACATTATTACAATTTCTTTTTTTTTTAATTTTTTTTTAAAGATTTTATTTATTTATTTGAGAGAGAGAGAATGAGAGATAGAGAGCACAAGAGGGAAGAGGGTCAGAGGGAGAAGCAGACTCCCTGCTGAGCAGGAAGCCCGATGTGGGACTCGATCCCAGGACTCCAGGATCATGACCTGAGCCGAAGGCAGTCGCTCAACCAACTGAGCCACCCAGGCACCCAAGACATTATTACAATTTCTTGATAACCCACTTTGTATGTTTATATTATTATAACTACATAAAAGCTGGTCACTGCTAAGACAAGTATATTCTCACAGTTACTACTTGCTTTTTCCCTTCTGTGTTTTAGGTAGTAATCACTGGTTCTACCCCACTTCCGGAAAACCCCCCTCAGTACTCGTGCCCAGGTCGTCATGCCGGTCTCCCCTCTCTGTGCTCTCAGACCTGCTGCAGAACTCTGGTCCGGGGCCCCTCAGCCTGCCCACAGCTCTCCACAGTGGGTTCTCTGTCTCCTAGATCCCACGGCCACCTCTTGCGTAGTTTTCTGTCTCGTTGCTTTGGAGCACATCCTTCAGAGCTTCCTGAGAAAGCATGCATGGGTGGCCAGCTTTTCCACCCCTTACAGGTCTGAAGATGCCTTTCTTCTGCCTTCACAGTCAACTGATAGCGGTATCAGTTCTTGGGCCGGAAACAGTTCTAGCTGGAAAGCACTTTCTCTCAGACACTCAAAGGCATCTGCTCCTTCATCTCCTAGCTTCCAGGCTTGCTTTTGAGAAGTCCCACAATATTCCAACTCCCAGTTCTTTGTGGTAGGACTTTTTTTTTTTTCTTTCCAGAATCTTTCAGGATCTTTGCTTTATCCCTGGTGTTCTGAAATTTTGCAAAGATGCGTGTTAGTGTCTTGATCTTTTGTAATCTTGTCTGCTGGGCATCTAATGGGCCTTTTCAATGTGAATTTGTTTTTCAGCTCTAGAAATTTATTTACAATGTGTCTGATAACTTCCTACCCTTTTTTTTTTTTTTTTTTTTTACTGTTTCTGGAATTCTCTTTTATCAGAGGTTGGACCCCTGTGGTCTCATATTTTCTCTCCTTTCCATCTTTTAATCTTTCCTACTGAGAAATTTCCTTGACTATCTTCTGCTTTCTTTGGAATGTATTTCATCTGTTAGATTCTTTATTTTAAAGTTTTTCTCGTATTCCTTTTTAAGAAAAGCATCCCATTTTGATGATACAAATCTCTTCTCTGAGGATATTAGGGTTCTGGGGCCTTTGTTTTCTTCTCCCTGCTCCTCCCCCGCCCCGACCATTGTCTGCAACCTTGTGTTCCTGAAGAGTGAGAGCCGGTTGTCAGGTGGTGCAGGGCACAGCTAGGTGATCTGTAGGCTAGCACAGCAGGCCAGGACTTCAGGGTCTCCCCCCCGCCCCACGTCCCCACCCAACAGATACCACTGTGGTCTTTCCCGGCCTTTCCAGGTCAGCTTCTCAGTACAGTGGAGGAACTACAGATGTCCTGTCAACAAAGGTCAAGGGGTCTGGGTGTTGGGATTGGTGAGAGCTACTGGTCCATAAAGTTGAATACACGCTTTTAACCAATTCCCGTTTTCAGCCTCGTCTTTTTCTGCGGTAGTGAGGCCTACATGTCCTGCTTCCTCCATGGACACAGGGCTTGCTACTTCCACTGCTCTGATAAGTCAGAACCACTTGACATTTGCTTCTCATCTTCCAAAAACATGTTGACATCCCTCATTGATATCCTTCCTCCCACTTCATTCTAATTTTAGTTTCAAGAGGAAGAGGAGCTTGATAATGTGCATTTATTCTGCCTCATTTAACTGGAAATCCTTTTTTTTCTTCAATATGTCATATAAAACTATCAACTTTTCTTTCTTAGGAAGGACTGCCCTTTTCTGCAATTATGTGTTTCTTCCTTTGTGTTAAACCTTCCTTTCTACTGTGCAATAATAGTGATATTAGGAGACAGTTGGGTCTTTTTATTTTAAGTTGATCCCAAAATGTATTTTTAAATTTTACTGGTCTGTGGATTTAAAATCAAGAAAACAATGCCCTAGGTTTTTTGTTTTTGGGTTTGTTTTTTGGTTTTGGTTTTTTTTTTGAGAGTGGTGGGGAGGACAGAGGGAGAGGAAGAGAGAGAATCTTAAGCAGGCTCCACGCCCAGTGTGAACACCTCATGCCGGACTCGGGGCTCAATCTCACAATCCTTATTGAGATCATGACCTGAGCCAAAATCAAGAGTCGGACGCTTAACTGACCAAGCCACCCGGGAGTCCCCCCCTCTTTTTTTAATAAGCAAACACTGAAGGAAGGGGCAGTGGCCAAGAAAACAGGACAGGATTGAGGGAGACATTTTTTCAAGCTGAGGGAAACAGCATAGGCAGGCAGACAATTGAAGAAGTCGGTAGCAGAACATCAAAGAAAATTAATGGCAGCCTTTCCCAGTGGAAGGAGGCCGTCAGGAGGGCTGGGCTGGGGAGGAGGGTTCACACCTCACCAGCCTTGCTTCCTAAAATTAGAAGCAGGCAGGCTCATCTCCTGGCAAGTTGGGGAGGCCCTGCCCTGGGGCCCATTTCCACAGTTTCTTCGAACTTTCTTTCCTGATAGTCTGTTTTATAGAATGACAGTGGGTAAGCGGAGGGATGTATTTGTGCCTGGACAGTCGGTGGGCAATTACATGAGGCTGACAGTGGTGCCCTGAAGGGCTGGGGCTGGTTGCTCTGTCCAGCCAGCATCTGGGAGGCTGAGCCCGACCCCCACCAACCGTCTCCCCTTTGTCTCCCCAGGATTGGTCCAGATCCCCGTGAGCATGTACCAGACTGTGGTAACCAGCCTCGCCCAGGGCAACGGGCCAGTGCAGGTGGCCATGGCCCCTGTGACCACCCGGATATCGGACAGCACAGTCACCATGGACGGCCAGGCTGTGGAGGTGGTGACGTTGGAACAGTGACATGCAGCCGTACGATGGCATCGTTTTCTAGTCTACTTCAAAATTTTTTACACGTTTGCAGAGGTGCAATCAAATGGAATTAAGTCTCTCGACTTTGGAAGAAAAGTTTTGTTAACCTTTTTTTTAAAAAGGAAGAAAGGCAGTGGGTTTTGGAATTGCATTTTTTAAAGCACCACTCTTGATTTTCTGGGATTGGTGGAATAAGATACTGTGTTGTCAATTTCACTGTCCCGAAAAAGCCAAATTGTGGCAGGACTTCTTTCTGCAGAAACATGTGTGTATACTTATGTGTGTGTATGTGTGAGTGTGAATATATGTATATGTGTACATATGGATATACACATTTACATATATATAAAGTATATATATATGTATGTATGTATATATATATATATATATATATATATGAAACCCGCATGGAATTATCTGTATGAAATCAAGGTGAGCTGTGGAAAAAAATAATTCACCCAGTTTAGTGGGTGTAGGGTACGTGGCCAGACACAGTCACCCGGTTTTTGTTCATACCAGGGTCATGCGTTGAGCTACTGACAAACTCAGGCGGAGGTGACCATGCCCTTCACCAAAGCTGCCTCCCAGTGGCCACCCAGAACTCTCCCTGCTGGACTCACCTGAGGAAGGAGGTTCCAGAACGAGGTGGGGTCCAGAAATTGTGTTTGCAAGGTCCAAGGGCCTCATGGTCTGGCAGCTGAGATGCTCCTCGGGCTGGCCCAGGTGCTGACCTTGCCACAGGCAGGTGAATGTCCTTAAAGCTCCAGGCAGGGACAAGAGGGATTTCTTCAGCCTCCCATCTCCTCCCCTTCCCAGGAAGCCTTCTTGATCTCATGACTATTAAAACGTTGCTTTGGTTTTAAGGTCAGTTCTGAATTGGTCATGTATATGAACTGAAGGTAACAGAAGTATTAAGGGTTTGAGGAGCGCGTGCGCATTAAGTGTGCTTGTGGGCGTGTGCTTGGAGGGGAGAGAGTGGAACGGGGAGGGGAGGGATTGGAAGGGGAAAGGAAGGAGGGAGAGAAAAATCTTCAAAGCCCAGGGCACACCAGCGGGAGCAATATTTTCCTTTCCAGTAACTTTCTGTAGCTTAAAAGAGGAGACTGTAAGTGACAGGAGCACCCGGCTCGAGGAAGGTTGCTCTTCATGCTGAGGGGCCTTGGAAGAGAAAGGGACCTGGGTGTTTCCAGCAGCCCTGGGGCAGGCCCTGTCTCAGAAGGGACACTGCAGTTTTCCCAGGTGCGGCCCGGTGGGACAGGCCCCACAGCCGCCTCCTCACAGGTGTTGACCGGTCTGGGTGTTCTCGGTAACTTTTAAATTCTGTGATTTCTCAGCTGCAAGCCCTGAGTCTCCAGTGGCTAAATTCACCTGACTTCTCGACAGGCCAAATCTCTGCTCCTTGAGTACAGGGACAACTCTTCCTCCCTCCTCCCGGGCCCCCATGTGTGATAGTGTATTTAATGTGTTTTTTTTAATGCGACATTAAAAGATCCTTCACATCTTGCTCAGCCTTTGAGAAAAGTTTCAGATTCTTGTATTTGCTTGTTTTATATAAAACTATCTAATGTTCTTTGTATGTTTTTTTCTGTACGTAATAGGGGGAGGGAAGGGAAATTTACATATAAACAGTCCTAGTTCTACAACTTGTTATTTTTTTAATTATTATTTTTTATCGTCATTGTGAAGCTGTTCAGGGGCTTTCAAGTCCGTGTTCCTTTGTGGTGAAATAACTTCCTAATAGTTTGAGAAAGAAGAAGAAGAAGAAGAAAAGCAAAACCCAAGTAGCAGAGCATGGATTCTGTGTTGTTTTCCATTCTGTCTATTACTGCCTCATTCAATAAATAGTTTAAAATGTGGCAACAGGAAGTGGGACTGTTCATCTCTGTAGGAGCACTTGGCCCCTTGGAACTCCTTTGGGGTGGCTTGTTCTGCTTTGTGAAAGGTGCTCGTACTCAAGCTCGGTGGTCTTTGAATAGTGCTCTGTGATGTTGCGGAGCGCTGGAAGGAGCGAGGGCAGGGGCAGGGCCTCCTGGCCAGCGCCCACCTCGGGAGCAGCGCCACTGAATTCATTTTATAAACGGCTGTCCTGAGGGTGCAGGGCCAGGTTGGGGGCTGGGATCTAACTTGAAAAGTTCTAAAGATGGTTTGAAAACTGTACTCTGGAGTTCTTTCTTTAGGGGTTAATTGCATTCCACATTAAAACTCAGGCTGGGCGATGGCGCCTGTCCATTGGGGTTCCCTGCACGGGAGTGTTGTTCACTGTCGCAGTGGATTATCCTCCCTGAAGCAGAGGCCTCAAGCCATTAATTTTTCCTTAAGTCCTCACTCTGGCTCATTGCTTTCATGTGACAACTGCCATCTTCCCAGCTGTACCTCCTGCCACACCCCCAGCTGTAGGCCCTTCGTCACCACCCCCCCTGCCAGTGGTTTGGCACCTCTGTGTTTGTGCCCGCTCTGTGCCTCAGCCTCGAACGAAGCCCTCCACCCCTTTGTTATTGGATGCCTGGGTCGGTTTCCTGGTGATAGTGATTAAAATCTTTGAGTAAAGGAGACCAGAGGCGTTCTCCTCGATGACTGACAGTGGCTCGTAAAGCTAGCGCCCCTCTCCCCCTTTTTGAACAGATGGCACACGATTGCCTATTTTCACTAGAGGGTGCACCGAAAAAGAGGATCGATCGCAGCCAAACCAACCGAACATCACTGCCACTGGCCACCCAGGAACAGCTGGGTTCTCTAGAGTACCTCCTTACGGGGCCAGCCTCTCTCTGGAGGTACCTCACTCTACAGTACATTCCGTTTGACTGGCAAGACCCAGCTGCTGCCTTTTCAACAAGCATGTGTTGAAAACTTTCTTTGGTGGGGCTCACGGAGACCTTTGCTTCCATTACTGCCTGAGTCACCACCGGCAGCTGCTGCAGGGCCCAGTATGTAAAATCGCTCAGGGAAGGGGAAGCGGCTCGGGTGGGCGAGTGTGGGGGGCGGGGGGCGTGGGGGCGGGTAGAGTGGAGATAATTGCCCGCAGATTGCCACCAAGTGGGAGCAATGTGGGCCCTAGAGCCCCATCTTCATAATTTTCCAGAGAAGATGGGGAGTCCAGATTTGTGTACAGATGTCCTGATTTCAACAACAAATCAAAAAATCCTTTACATACTCTGCAGGGAAAAAAAAAACCCACAAAACACTACACCTGTCGACCAGATCTGGCCCATGGGTCAGTTTTGTTTAACTTGGTGATAGCCTGCCATGTGTCAGATGAATACAACCTGGCAGGTGCCCATGGGCACAAGATGGGAGGAGACATTCGTATGAGCAGATCATTACAGCCCAAGGTGATAAGGTGCCATCTGGCTGGAGTGCTGTAGCAGAACGAGTTCTGTTCTCTCCTTTTATCTCCTTAAGGGTCCTCTGCGTTAAGTAGTTTATCATCCAGGCTGCAGACAAAGATCCGGTGCTCACAGAAATTGAGACTGGGCTAGGAATTCTTGGCTCTTAGTCCTACATCTGAGAAGTTACTGGTGATGCTGGTGACCGCTAGAGTTGTCTGAACTCAGATGAGTGAGCTGAGGAGAAGCCGAAGGGCAGGGAAAACAGGGGGCTGCTCACCCTCTAAGCTCAGGCTGCCTGTGCACCCTGGACCTCACTCAGACCCAAGCCAGGCTCATCTGCAGCCACTCTGCACATGGAAAAGGGCCTACTCCTCCTGCACCCACCTTCCTCCCTACCTGCAGCCAGTCCTCTCTCCTCCATAATGCCCCCGAAGCCTCCGCTCCGAGGGGGTGGGTTGGTACCCAGCCCGTGGTGGGTCCCTTTAGTGTCCAAACTGGACAAACCAAAACTGAAGCTTAATTAGTTGGAACAGAGGCTAGGTGGGGTGAGGGAGAAGAGCCCACATCCTCTCATCCCCACCTCACTGGGCTCTGGGTCAGGTGATGAGCCCAAGCCAGCCTGTGGCGTCAGCACGGCTCATGCTCAGAGGCCAGAGGCAAAGACCACCACCCGCGCACTCCCTCCTAGCCTCTGCTGTTTGCTCCAGGTTGGCAGCTCTCGGAGAAGATCCGCTGGGATGGTGGAGGCAGCACAGAGGGAGAGAGAGGACTTAACGTCTCTGAAATAGCTGGACAGGGTAGGTCTGCCCACCTGCCATGCCACTCCCAGGGCTTCTGGGCCCCTGAATGAGTCCCCGGCTCACTCTGAATTTGAGGTTCTCTTTCCCAAAAACAGCTAGGCTGTTAGCAAACATTTGTTGACTACTGGTGTCTTGGGAGTGTATTTCTACAAAGGTGGGGGGGGAGGGGAAAAGAACAGGGATAATACCCATCTGCAGAGGGGGAACCAGTCTCCCCTGAGAACCTAGGACTTTCCCAGGGCGACCTTGGGAGGCAAGGACAACCCTGTGTCTCAAGCCCATGTCTCCAGCCCTGTCCGGAGGCTTTCCTGGCTCCGGATGAGAACTATGACTTGTCTGCGATTGAGAGTATATATGTGGTACCCATCACAATAGTTAAAATTTATATACCCTTACAACGTGCCATGTTCTGTTTCTGTTCTCAAGATTTACCTATAGATCCACTTAATCTTTACGAAGTACTGTTATCATCCCCACTGCACAGATGAGCAAGCAGGCACAAAGAGGTTAAGTTTAGAGTAGCTTATTTAATATTTGGGAGAAAAGGCTAGAAGCTATCCCCCCAAATTTAAAGCACTTGTAATTAAAATTGTTGGTACAACTTAAATTGGGTCTCAACTCAGATTTCTTCTGAATGTATCTACCTTTAAGTAACTAGTGCCGGAACTAGTGGGAACTCAAGAGCCGCTCTGCACAGGACACTGTGCAAAATGCTCTAACACCTTGATTTCTCATCCTCTCCACAACCCTGTACGGAGGTTAGATTCCATTTTATAGCTGTGGGAACTGACACTTGGCAACTTCACAAGGTAAATGCGGAACTAGCTAACAGGGGGCCTGGATCAAACTCTGCTACATCTGTCTCTAGAAGTTCCGTTCTTCGTGCCAACCATTCAGGGGGCAGGTGTCAGAAAATGAGCTGCACATCTGGATTCTCATCTTCAAAGAAAACTCCAGGTGAGTCCTGAGCTTAGCCCACAGGCAGCCTCAGCCATCAGGGTTTCCTGACACTGCAATGGTTGTCATGTGGGGCCCACCCCACCAGAGGGGCCTCCCAGCAGCTGGGCCTTTTCGTCACGCATGCACACACAGGCCAAGGCACACAGGGACTTGACTACAGCAGACACTCAAAACATCTCATCCGATGAGTGACCTTCATTTCCAGTGGTTTCTTAGGAAATTCAAGGAACCCAAAATACCCATTCCCACACATTCTCATTACTCAAAAATTTTCTGCAAAAAGCCAGTGTTAACATTGTTAAATAATTTGATGTGAAAAAAATGTTGATGTTATTTCCAAGAAAAATCCGGCCCTGTGAGATCCTACCAAGGTAGTGAAGATGCTGGGGCCTGAACACATTCTTGGGCATGAGTAGTTACATTATGTTGTTGTCCTTACAGTCGTTAAAAGCCCCAGGGCCCAAAAGCTATGGAGAGATCGGTTGATGTTAAAACCCAAGAAGCTCCGGGCAAGGAGGCCAAGCCAAACCTTGGCAAAGTAGTTGGATTGTGAAGTCGTCAGTTGGGCCTAAGTCCCATACAGTCTTTGGGCTCCCCAGTGGCCTTGCATGGAAGAGAATTTTAAAGCTGGAAGGGACATTAGCCACCACTCCTCATTTAGGCTATGAAGATTAAAGCCTAGAGGCAGAGAGACTCAGAACCACACGAGGGTAGCATTGCATCCAGGCTTCTGACTCTTGACCAGGGTCATACCCCCACTGCACTCAGCATCTCCTGCCCTGGCCTTACCATCTAAATTCTTAAAACCTTAAACTCTGGGGGGGCACCTGGCTGGCTCAGTCAGTAGAGCATGCAACTTTTGATTTTGGGGTTGTTAGTTCAAGCCCCAGGTTGGGTGCAGAGATTACTTAAAAATAAAATATTTTTTAAAATTGTTTATTTATGCCTATGTATTTCCCTTACCAGAACTATTTCTTATAGAGAACAATATTTAAGCCAAATAATCTTGAGTCTGAAATTTGCCAGAATTTACCAGAATTGTTGCAGAAAACAGTCACAAAGGGATACTTTTTTTTTTTGCCAAAAAAAATATATTTTTTTAATTCACAAAAGTAAAGGTAGACTAATCACATAATAGGATTCTTTACCCTGGCCCTCAGGGTTCTCATCTGTACAGAACAGCGGTTAATGAACAATTCAGGGGACCCTATCACCAACGCCCAGGTGATGTCCTTTGCTTCTCCCAGTGAATTAGGTGGGTCGAGTGTCATTACTGTTCCACAGATGAGCTGCGCCGAGGTGAGCTGGTCCAGGCTGTGAGTCCTGGCCCCCCAGTCCTCCTGTCCTCACCGGTTCCAACACCTCTGGCAAGGCCCAGCCCACCCGCCCAGACAGAATGAGGTGACACCAGAAAGCGCCCAGCATCAAAGTCTTTCCGGTGTGAACAGCAGAAATCCAGGGACACCTGAGAAAAGACGGGAGGCTGATGGAGCCAAGATCTGCGTCTTCGAAGCCCAAGGTGACGCAAATTCCCGCCCCCGACGTGGAGCCGCAGTCTTGGGGAGCACAGCTGATTGGCCAGCTGGTGTCACGTGTCTGCCTCCAGGCCAATCAGCAATGGCCAGCGGATTGGGGGGCGGTCTTCCTCCCAGGTAGAGAAGGGGGCTGGGAGCGCCATCATCTCCACCCAAGCTGTGACAACCAGGGGACAAAGGAGCTGGGATCCTAATAGCCTCCCTGCTGCCTCACGTGGCCACAACCAAAGAACTCTCCCAGGTCT